CATAAAATACTATAGTTGGTAATAATGAGTAATGTTGAACAATTTATAGAAATGTAAATGAAAACAATAGTTTATTTGCAAGGAGAAAACACAAGGACACCGAGTTTGTAGACTTGTTGATCACATGGTATATGTATTATGTATGTTTGCGATTTTCTGACATGTAGTTCTAAATTGTTTAATTCTACAGCCCAAGAAGATGGGCCTTGAGTCAAATCCAATAAGAACCAGAAGGGATCACATGAAGGTACTGGTGTGCGTTGTGTACTTGGGTTAGTTGTTATAGTAAGTTAGTAACATACAAAATGAGCACCATACCTATATAATGTAATAGTCAAGTTGTTCCAACATTTATGTTTTTGTTCTCTTGTGTGTTTAGCAGTACAACGAAGGAACGAGCGAAGTCCGATTCAGAAAACTGCTACTGCTTGTGTAAATGCAACTTGTAAACTTGCTCATTGTGTATATAAGAGAATACTCAGCTCACTGACTCCATCTACTTTGAACGTTCATTTGTAGACTCCTTGGATGCAGATGTTGGTATAGATGCTTTCACAGTGACTGTTAAAGTGGAGATTGAACTATTACGCATTTGATCTAGAGGCAGTGGGGTTTGATTTTTGGTCATTTCGATTGATTAGGATATTGGTTTCTATTTTGGTTTGTATAAGATAATTTTTTTTTCCAAATGTATTCATTAGATATCTGTTTCTTCCTTCATTATAATTACTTGGACACCATAATTGATTTTCATGCTTGTGTACAATAAAGTTCACCTTTTATTCCTTATTTGTTACATAGTACTTGATTACATCTTGTTAGATCGCGCGTGTAATCAATTATAAGGAATCGAGGTTTAAATATTTCTACGTTTGGTTTGCAGGAATGGAATGGATTTGGGGGGATTTGGATTTTAAATCCATTCCAATCCTATGTTTAGTTTGCCAAATTGAAGAGATTTGGAATCCGGGGATTTGATTAAAATCCAGTGTACGCGGGATTTGGAAATCCTTTGCAAAGGGGGGGGGGATTTCAAATCCAAATCCTGGCCTTTCCTTCCCATCGCTTCCCTTCCATCGCTTCACCCACCTTCCTCCCGCTTCCTTCACCCATATTCCCGCCCTAAGGTCGCTTCCCTCCCATCGCTTCCCTTCCATCGCCGGTGCTCCCTTCCCGTCCGTTGCGAAGCTGTGCCCTAAGGTCGTCTCGCCGGTGCTCCCTTCCCGTCCGTTGCGAAGCTGTGCCCTAAGGTTGTCTCGCCGGTGCCCCCTTCCTTTTCCCCTCACGAAGCTGCGCCCTAAACCGCCTTGAGCCAATACCCCTTGAGCCAAAACGCCTTTCCTGTTCGCCGCCTTCTAGCATCACTCTCAGCAGGTAAATCATATAACACCTTTTGGTTATTTGCTTCTAAGGCATGCTGATGTATGGTCTACCATGAGTTAGGGATCCTTAATTCCTTTTTGTGTTATGATATTGCTTCTAAATCCTATTAATGTAACTATTTTGCAAGTATGCTGAAACAGGAAAATCATTAGTATTCTCGGATCAATTGATAATTTGGAACCGTGGCCATCATTTTTTATTTTTATGATGTTGGCAATTTGTATAGCCCTTAAAAACTAGCCTTTTTAGTAGTAGTCTCATTTTCATGACATAAGCTCTTGCCCATGGTAAATGTTGCGACACATTGTTGTTTGCTGATATTGAATATGTAGCTGGTAATGTGAGCATCCATGTGCATTTGTTGGTCATTTTATTTTTTTAACTCAATTTGTTATTTGAAGTTGCTGTTTATTGCATAGCACTAGCTTTGAGTTTTGTTTATATTTGCATTGATACTTATTAAATGTTCATTTGAACCATGGTTTAGAATCTCGATTGTTTCGGTTACCAGCGATTACTAGCGATTCCCGCTTCATGCAGGCGAGTTGCAGCCAGCAACCCGTGCAGTGCTGTAGCTAACGCGTTAAGTATCCCGGCCCGGGGGGGGGGGGAATTTCTTAGATGTATTACCACATCCCCAAGGTAATTGCCCCATAGATCCTGTATCTATCAATGAGATTAGACATATAGTGAAATGCCAATGATTGATGGTATTAACCATTCCACTAGCTTTTATACAACTGCTAAATCTGTACTCCTGAACCAAAACTGATGGTAACATCATTTCTAATTATAGTGAAATGGTAACAACATTTCTAATTATAGTCAAATATGTCTAAATTCCTAATATTTTGTTTTATAGGACCTGTTTTATAGGACCTACGTTTCTTCCCTAGATTTAGTTCGTCAATATTTCATACCTCTTCACTGTTTCACTTTGTTTTCTTTCTTTATTTTATCAAATGCAATACCCAAAGATGGAAATGGTTTAAGGTATTTCTACTTCTTTTTTAAAATTTACTAATTTCTAAATAAGTCTAATTAGTATGAAAATATAATGATCTTCATTTTCTTGGTTCTAGAATTATCTAGGAGCTTTGGATGGAACCTACATAAAATGTATAGTTCCAGAAGAAGACAAACCTAGATATAGAACAAGAAAAAATGAAATTGCAACAAACGTGCTAGGGGTCGGCTGCTGATGGTCGAGTGCTTCGAGATGCTCTTCTTAGGCCTCATGGATTAAAAGTTCCAAGACCGGGTATAGTTTACAATAGTTTACTATATATTAACAAGTTAAGTTTTGATGATTTATTAACTTAATTTATTACTAGGTTATTACTTGGTTGATGCCGGATACACAAATGGAGAGGGTTTCTTAGCTCCTTATAGGGGTCAAAKATATCATTTAAATGATTGGCGTGATGGACACCAACCAACCACCGCCAAATAATTTTTCAATATGAAGCATTCATCGGCGATAAATGTTATTGAACGATGTTTCAGTATGTTGAAGGCAAGGTGGGCAATCTTACGAGATAACTCATATTATTCTATTGAACAAAAAGTTAAGATCATCATGACATGTTGTCTCCTCCACAATTTTATAATGCAAGAAATGCCAGTAAATCCACTTGACAATGACGGTGAAGTGGATGAGGGAACCGGAGACCATGGAGTCGAAGACGGAGATAATATAAATGTTGTTGGTACTTCAAATGAGTGGACGACATTTAGGGACAATTTAGCACAACCTATGTTTGCTTCTTGGAATGCTACCAATTAATTTGTATGATTCAAATATTTGTTTAACTCATCCTTAATGTTTGTTTAAGGAATACTTGCCATGTTTGTTGAAATCTAAGGTTTGTTTTGTAATAGAAATTATGGAGTTTGGACATGGATAATTAAATGTCGTTATACTTTTGATTCATTTATGTTTGTAGGTATGACGAGTCAAAATAGAAATTATAGAGTTTGGACGAATATTGAAGAAACAAAACTCGTTGAAGCTTTACTTACTATGGTGAATACAAGAGCATTTAAAGCCGATAATGGCTTTAAATCGGGTTATTTAACATTTCTTGAACAATCGTTAAAAGAATCTTTGCCGGGCTCCGGGATTTTAGGGAAACCACACATCGAATCAAAGTTAAAAATAATGAAGAAAGATTGGACTATTGTGCATGACAATAAATGGTTCATATACTAGTGGCTTCGGATACGATAGTGTGAAGCATTGTGTCGTTGCGGAAGACCAAGTTTGGAAGTCGTATCTTCAGGTACATGCTCAAAAGAACTTGCTATTTATATTTGCATWATATATAATCATAGTTATATGTATATTTAATAATTTCTATTATGAAATAGGTCCATAAAGGGGCGGGAAAATGGAAGAACAAACCATATCCTTTTTATGAGGATCTTTGTATTGTATTCGGAAAAGATCGTGCCACAGGAAATAGAGCAAGAGATTTTGTTGAGGCGGAACATGAGACGCGTACAGAAGATCAAACACAACACATGAATGACGAGTCCGATAACGTAATGGCAACTAGCAATGTTCAAGGTGGGAATGCAAATATGCAATCTGAAGAAACTTCAACTGCGCGTCGTAAAAAGAGAAAACGTCGAGTAGATCCCATGGCTGACGGATTTAGTAATGCGGTTACTAAACTTGGAGAAACTTTGGAGAAAATGGCAAACAAACTTAGCAGGAGTGTAGAACGAGAAGACGAACTTGATAATAAACGTTCGATGATCACTCCTGAGATATTAAAAATGCAGACGTTGGCCCAACGGGAGAAGTTTAAAGCAATTTCATTGATAAGAGATGATCCTGAAAAAGTGAACACGTTTTGGGATTTCTAAGAAGCGGATAGGGAAGCTTATGTGTATTGGGTTTTAAATGGATGAAAATTTTGGTGGGTAAATATGTGGTTTTGAAAGAACAAGTTGGTAGTTAAATGTGGGTAAATTTTGGTGGGTAAATGTGTGCTTTTGAAATTTTTTGTTGATTAAATATGCATTTTGGATGAAAATGTTTGTTGATTAAATATACATTTTGGATGAAAATGTTTGTTGATTAAATATGTATTTTGAATGAAAAAGTTTGTTGATTAAATATGCATTTTGGATGAAAATGTTTGTTGATTAAATATACATTTTGGATGAAAATGTTTGATTGTTAAATTTTTAGGTTTGTTGGTTAAATAGATAGATTTAAGAAAATGAAAGATATTTGATGATTAAAATAATTACAAAAAAAATCTCAATTCAAATCCAAATCCTACAAACCAAACAGATGAATGAATTTCAAATCCAATCCAAATCCTGCAAACCAAACACATGAATGGATTTTAAATCCAATCCAATCCAAATCGCTCCAGAAAATCCAAATCCATCAGAAACATTACTACAAACCAAACGCACCGTAAAGATTAAAGATCGAATATTTAAATATAAATTTTGTAATTTTTAATGAAAGATTGCACCTTTTTAGTTGTAGATTTATTGAAAAATTTGACATTCCACGGTATTGCGAGTACATACAACTAGTTAAACTACAAAGATTTATAATCAGCTAAAACCCAAAAAAATTTAGGCGAACAAGTAGGAAGAGTGTCAGTTCTGCGAATTTGGAATCTCGAAGAACAGATTGAATCCATTGAAACCCATCGATTTCAATCGAGAAATGATGCATTCCGAAGCAGAATCAGAAAAATGTAAAATTCGTTGCAAATAAGTTTTTCTGTTTATCTTTGGACTTGAATTCCTCTGCGGAAGGGCTTCTCGATTTGTAATTTAGAAGATCGAGATTTCAATTCCATTGTTTGGTGGTGAGGAGGGTTTTTCAGTGATTATATACACGCAGAGAGAAAGAGGGAGATTGCGATATAAAGAGATGGGAGATAATTCAGGTTACAAGCATTATATAGCGGGACTGGTCTCAGGTGTTTCAATGGTGATCGTTGGTCATCCTTTCGACACTGTGAAGGTTAGTTTGAAACACCTCTTTCAATGTTCATTGATTTTGTCTATTATTATGTCTCTTTTTTTTTTCAAGATAAGAAGTTGCTTTCGACATAAACAAAACCCCATTTTGGGTATGAATTGAGGTGGACGGTTTGAACTTGGAAATTAGAAATTTACAACTGACAGACAAGTATATTTATAGTCACCAAATTCTCACCAAACTACCTTAATTTCATTCTATGAAACATTAATGAGTGTCGATGCACATTCTCTCTGTTTGTGATGGAAAAATACCAAGTTTGGTATAGAAGGTGATGGATTGGTGGTATGTTCAATCACTGCAATTGATTTACCCAAGACATATAATCCTATTTCTGCTCAAGAGTGGGTTTTGTGTATGGGACCATCTGGAAGTACAACTAGAGAAAACTACGTGCAAGTACTTTGGGAGTGTTGGGGTTTTGGACACCACAAAAGCAAAATAAAGTAACTAGGTTTATTCAACGACAATCAAATATGTGATTCCAACCAACAACTAATGCAGAAAACAAAGTAGGATCGATGATCGAAGGCACAACAAACAATCAACCAAAAAATTGCAAAAAACACAAAACACAAAAGATCTGCGTGGTTCACCACCAATATGGTGATGTACAAACTTTTATTAATAGAGAACACCCAAACACCAAAGAGAAATTACAAACTGAACACTAAATTGTGTATAATCTCTCTCAATATTTTCTCAACTCACACTAGGGTTTCTAAGCTCTCAGTTTTGTTCTATACTTGATAAAACTAAAGGGGGTATTTATACTAATCCATAGGTTGAATCCCAATGCTAAAAACTAGGAAAAACATGATTATCATCCCGCAAGGCCGGGCCTGATTATAAGGTGTGGCGGTGCCTGAAGACCTAAATGTTTTTGTTTTACGAAATAACACTATGCCCGCCTGTACTTGATCATAAGATGTGGCCGGTGTTAGAACACCCAAAACTTTATGTTTTGCAAAGTAACATTACGCACGTCTGTGCTTGAATATAAGATAAAGCCGTGTCAAAACACCCAAAACTCTCTGTTTTGCAAAGTAACATGCGCACCCCCGTGCGTGAATATAAGGTGCGGTCGTGCAGAAACTCTAGAACTTTCTCTCTTTCATTCTGTTGTTTTATATCACAATTTTCAACGGGAATAACTGTATCGATTCGCATATGAAGCATGCAGATGACAACAATCAGGCCTTGGAGCTTGACCTAATTCTATCTTTTTTAGTGCTTCTTTTGGCTTCAACATTCTGAAGGTGCATGCAAACTCTTCTATTTGCATCATCCAAAGAGTCAAAGTTCCCTTGCACATCCATTGTTATTTCTATAAAACTGAACCAGATTGATACAAATTGGCTAGAATTTATCTAAGATACTCCTCTAATCGGATGATTGAATTGAATAATAAAAGATATAATGTAAAATACAAGGGTGAAATGGCTTTCGAGAGGCCATACGCTGTCCTAGGATTTAGCTCACAAGATAACCAAGAAATCAAATATCTCCTCTAGGCCTTCCCTTTTCGTATTTATACAACTAAACATAATCTCCCGCCCAAAAACCCTCCCCGTACTACCTCTTGGACCTTCTAGAATGACCTATACAATTCACACCTCACTTGGGAAATATTGGGGTATAACAATATCTGCCCTCTAAAATTCCACCTTGTCCTCAAGGTGGTAAGAAGAAATAAAGAAATAGGCCACTGTTTTATGAAAATGTTGCTTCTCCATTCCGAAACCCAGCATCGAGATGCTTACTTTTTGCTTATGAGTCTTACTAGCTTTGTGTGTCCCATAATGTCATCAAACCTTTCATACTCCGGATGAGTCAACGTGTTTTTAATCTTTCCAGCAACTAAATAGGATGAATAGAAATCTACATTAAGCTGGCAAATCATGCTTATATCAGCCCCAGCCTGCAGTGCCACCATGAATTCCTTGGGGTTCTGGATCTTGCAAATGTCCCCAAAGTGTTCACCAAAATGTTTGTCATTCCAGCACTACCATCAATGATTGACAAGGTCTTAATAACCTTTTTGGGAACAATGAGGATGAAAAGCTCCGCTTGTGTATCCCTTTTGCTCTTGGCTATCAAGCTCTTGAGATGTCTTTTATCGAACATAACACAAGAGTTGCTAATTACTTCAAGAAGGGAGATTACCTTTTTCTGTCGAGAGTTTGCTCCCGTCTTCATTTCTCTCAGTGACTTTCTTCTCTCTAATTGTGTAGGCGACACATAGCGGTAGTAGTTCCCTAATTGCTGCTGCGACTCTATCAGTCGGATCCCTTTGAATTTTATTCTTTTGTCCAATCGATTATTATTAGTGGTGGCTATCCTACTGTTGTTTTTTCCTTTTGACAATGCAATCCACGGATGTGGCCGCAATGGTGGGGGTGGCAGCGACGGGGTTGGTGGTAGCGGCAGTTTCCATCGACTGTCGCTCAACAACGTCCCCCAAGTTGTGAAGTTAGACGTGGATTTTTCCGATCCATTAAAGTCTTTTCTGGGTTTGGTCCAACTTATACCAACTTGTTTAGGACAGGCTAGGGCCAAAAATAGAATCAACAGATTGTGCTTCGTTGACTTACTTGATTTCTTATTTTCTATCTGAATCATGAATTCATGATCGATTCTTCGATTTTGGCCTTTGTACGAGTGAATGGAGGATCATGGTGTGATGGCGGGAGCACTACCATGGCGTACGTGATGGTGGATAGGGCAACCATGGCGGTGAGAGTGGCGGAAAGGGTGGTGACAGCGGTAGCAGTGGCTCGAGATAAGTGTCGACCAACCCTACCCTTCCCTTTAAGGTCCCGATCCTCTTTTTATTTTCTATTCTCTCTTCCCTCTTAAAATCCAGAATACTCTGGATCCTCTTAGTATTTTCTCTATTCTTCTCATTCTGTTGCAAATCTGAATTTTTGTCATTCTCAACTTTGTTGCTTTGTATTTTTGTACTCTTTCCAAGACCTGAATACGAGTCATCTTGAAACGTTCTCTTCAGCGTCCTAGTCTGCTTATCTTCTTGCAATTTGATCAGCTTTTCCATCATCTCCTTCATCTTCTGCATATCCTTGTTCATCTTTGCTCTCCAAATCCTTGATTCGAGATGTAACACTTCTTGTCGTCATCCTTCCGAAATCGCATTGCTCTTATGCCAATTGATACAAATTGGCTAGAATATCTCTGAGATACTCGTCTAATCGGATGATTGAATTGAATAACCAAGGACATAATGTAAAATACAAGGGTAAACTGGCTTTCGAGAGGTCAAACGCCATTCCAACTTTAGCCTAGAAAATAGCCAAGAAATCAGATATCCCCGCTAGGCCTTCCATTTTCTTAATACACAACTAAACATAATCTCCTTCCCGAAATAATCCCCCCTACTACCTTTGGAACCTTCTAGAATGACCTATACCACTCACACCTCACTTAAATATTAGGTATAACAATGAACCAATAGATCCCACCTGGAGGCGGCATATGCGAGGGTACAATATAAGGGGCCTGACCTCTACCCAAAAGAGTCTAGCGACTGTTACCATGAAGACTACTTGCATCGTTATTCCCATTCACTTATCAAAATAACCCTTCCAATATTCTCCAACGTAATCATCTTTGACCAAAACTCATTAGTTCTTGTCTTCACACACTTGATGACTTATGTGCATAGTTTTTTCTTTATCTTCCCTCTCTTTTCTTAGTTTCTTGCTTGGTTCTACGTACAACTTACGACTTGCTTGATCTTCTCTCTGAAACCGGACTTTTGGGATGCGAGCCAATAAGTATTCCAATGGAACCCTCTAGGAGGTCACCTCAACCAAAAGAAGATGCAGAGCTAGTGGATAAAAGGAGATACCGACGGCTAGTTGGAAAATTAATATATCTCACCCGTAGAAGATCGAATATTGGATATGTAGTTGGAATGGTCAGCAGGTTCATGAACGCTCCAACTAAGCAAAACGTGGATGCAGTGTTCTAGATCCTCCTCTATTTCAAGAAAAATCCAGGATATGGACTCTTCCTCAAAAAAACAAATGGAGAGACCTTCAAATCTTAACTTCTTCACTGATGTTGACTGTGGAGGTTCAAGAACCGATGGAAGATCCACAACAGGTTATTGTACCTTTGTTTGGGGAAATTTGGTAACTTGGAGAGGATCTAGAACACTGCATCCACGTTTTGCTTAGTTGGAGAGGTTCATCCATGTTTTCCTTCCTCTATCAATTAAGGGTGTTATCCTTGATTTCTAGCTTTCTGTTTTTAGAGATTTTCTCTATCCTTTCTTTAGTTGAAAGGATTATCCTTATCCTTTCTTTAGTTGAAAGGATTCTCCTTTTGTATAAATAGCCTTGCTTTGTGTTTTATAATCAATAGAAAATATATGAAAAGCCTTTTATGCTCAACTCTGTTTGGTTTATAGATATATCAAACTATGGTAGATTAGTAATATTTTAGTTTTTGTTTCATTCTTGTCCCATCTTGTTCTGCCTATTTTGGTGGAACAAGAAAAAGCCTCTTTTGTCTCACCGTGTCCCAGTTTTTGTCCATGTCATATGTCGCGCCAAACATAGGACAATGAGTTCTTGTTCTGTCCCATGTTGCGCCAAACGTGGGACAGTGAGTTTTGTCCCGTCCTGTCCTGTCCCGTCCCATGTACCAAACGTAGCCTGAAGAAGCAATTGGATAGGTTGATTAAACTCCAAGAGGAGAAGAGGAGGAGATCAGAAATCTCAATGAAAACGGAAAAAGAGAAGATGCATCCATAGGGACAAGAATTGGAGGTAAATTATTTTTCCAATATTAAGGAGAGGAAATTGGAAATACCAATTTTCAATGGAACTGAAACAAAGAGGTGGATCCTTATAGCAAAAAGGTATTTTATGTCAAATCGGCTTAGGAGAGAGGAGCAAATTGGAGCAGCCATTGGTTCCTTGAAGGAGTTGCCTTGCGATGGGTTCAATGGGAGCATCAGAGGGGACCTTTTAGACGTTGGGAGGATCTGAAGTCGATGATCCTTCATCAATTTTGCTCAATAACGGGGTATTCATCTGGTGATTAGTTTCTAACCCTAAAACAGGGTGTGACCATGGAGAGGGACAATATGGAGAAAAGCTTGCAGGAGAAAGGAGAAAATAGAGGGAAGGAGGTAGAAGATATTAAAAAAAGATTGAGATAGAGGAAGGGTGGGGTTTGTTGACAGCCCCTTAGAGCCGCTGTGGCCTCTGTCGCCACCCTCTCCGCCATCATCGGTGCCGTCGAAGCCCTCACCGCCATCATTGCTCCCTTTTCTGCCATTACCGGTGCCATCGTCGCTGGAGTATCCGTTGTCACATTATCTTCCACCGCCAAGCGAAACCAAGGCCAATAAATAGGCCTCGATCGGGAAAGCCCAGTTGGAGAAGGAAAAAACAAATCAGTCAACAAGGCCACTCAAGTGGTTTCAATATTGCCCAAATCCAATCAAAGTTATTCTATGTGACCAACTTAAGTCAAGTTTTGTTAATTCGGCCCAATCCTGTACTAAACTTGATATGGACCCTCTTCTTCCCGACAAATTTTGTAGCGTGGACCTTAAGAGGTTGGTTAGGCGACAATCTTCGGAAAATACCGCTACTATCACCACCGCCGCAGCAGCCACCACTATGTTTTGGCTCATCTTCTCTGAACCATCTGCTGCTCTGTTAGATGGAATTGGAGGATGAAAGGCTGCCCTACAAATGAATCTTCTGACAGTACTGATATAACTGGGATTGGTAGATTGGAAAGTATGTTGATTGTTCCGAAATATAGTACAAAAGCAAGGCTGGCATTTAAATTGGGACATGATAACCTGGTGGAGGTGATCTTGAAATACGGATTGTGGGAGGTTTTTAATGATTGTAAGATGGGAAACTATGCAATCTTACAGACAACCCCAATCATCTTCCTTACTTCAAAGTTGGGTACTGTATGGTTTCCAAAACTGTCTTTAACGACAAAAATGAAGGGATGCTCTCTTTAATCCTCAAAATAAGACAAGCCTTTTTCTCCTCATCAAACTCTGTCTCTTTAACGGAAAAAGGGGGAGAATGGTTGGCCAATGGCCATTGGAAACTCACCCACCACCGTGGCCGCCACCGCCACGGCCGCCATCGTTATCACTACCGCTGTTGCCGCCACTGTTACCACCACAAACAGTCATTGACATCAGTTGTTGGAGTCAGTTCCTTTGATTTTTCCCCACCTTGAGGACAAGGTGGAAGTTTGGGGGCAGATATTGTTATACCCTGGTATTTTAGTAGATAAGTCAAACAGAGTAAACTATGGTGCAAGTGTCTAATGCACTAGTACATGCTTTAGGTAGTATAAATAAAGGGAGTGGACAGTTAGAATGGTATCGATCATTTTGTAAGTCTGTTTTGGGCGTTATTCCTGGGAGAGATTCTGGCTTCTAAAAAGCTAGAAACCTTAATTGTAACCATTAGATTTCCCCATTAGTTGTTAGATTTCTTTTGCAATTTCATCCTATTTCTTGGTTTACATCAAGTTCTTTAAGCAATGACATTGGAATGCCCAATCACCATAGATCTCAACATATACTATTAAACCTACGCTTAGGACCGGGGTTTAATTAGAATAGTTCAAACTATAGTGCAAGGAACTGCGTTTTTGTGGTCAAAGATATTGAAATATACCTTTTTATCTTTAAAAGGAACTACAAAAGGACAACCAAGAAGTTTAATGATAGGCATATTAGCTTATGTTACTAGCATCATTACATGCATATATGATATATGATTGGCACCAACTCCAACACGAACCATCTTAATTATTTATTGCAACTTTTGCTTGGTTGTGTTTCATGTTTTATGTATTTGTTTGCTACCTTGGATCTATGTTTAACCTTCATGTTGTACAATGTATTTATCTTATGGGGCTAAAAAATTTCTCTCTTGATAAACCCATAAGAGCACCTAATTTTTAAACTGGGTATTGATGAATCAGTTTGCTTTGCATGCAAAAACTTTTTCTCCGTGCAATTATCTCATAAGAGATAACTAACTACAATTTTTAATGTGAAATGAAAAGGTTACCTATATTTTTCTTACCTAAGTTGTCTGACCCCAACAACATTGTTTAGTGCCTTTGATATTTTATTTGTTGTCTGACCCCATCAACATTTTTTAGTGCCTTTGATATTTTCTTTCTTATAAACAGTATCTTCATTTGTCAGGTCAAGCTTCAAAAGCACAATACTGAAGCTAATGGATTCAAGTACAAAAGTGGATTGCATTGTACAACTAGGATATTGAAGACTGAAGGAGTATATCCCTAAACTTCTTGTGCGATAACTTTTAAAAATCATTTTATTCATATAGTAACCATTTTGCTGATCTACATGCATTTTGTGATATAGATTGTAGTTCTAAGAATATCTTGCATTGCACTATGTGTAACTTGAGTATTTGTTGAATCTAACATCATGTCTTCCATTTTCTGAACCATTTAAACGAGGTTGATAAATATAGTGGCTCAAAGGATCTGCCCATCAAAAAATGGGTATAATAGTTCTCTCGGAATCAGTCCAAAACCTAAAACCCGAGAATGGAAGCTCATTGACCATGGTATCCAAATGATCTTATGGAATGCCATGAAACAAGTCCTAAGGATAACCCAGAACTGCCATAGCACAAAATAGAAATAATTTCTATCTTTTCTTGTGCAATATGGGCTTTCTTGTTTATGATATGTAATGAAATCTATTCTATCTTTTGTAATTTCTGTGCTCATTTCACAACCCAGTTTGATGTTCTTTTACTAAAACATTTCGATCTTATGACTCTCCATTTGCCAAGATTTTATTTGTTTGCATTTATATAGCCTTGGCTATCATTCATTGTTGGTCGCTCCATCAGTTAGACGTCAAGATGCATTTCTTAATGACATTCTTGATGGTGAGGTGTACATGGAACAACCACATATGTTTGTTATTTAGGAGGCCTCAAATGTATGCCGAAAGCAACATTCATTATATGATCTAAGCAGTCTCTAGAGCGTGGGTTGGGCAAATTTTGAATGTTCCCTAGGAGTTCTATATGGCTCGAGTTCCGAGGATTATTCTGTGTTCGTTAGACATTATCAGGGTCGACAAATCATACCAGTGGTCTATGTGGATGGCACTATTATCACAGAAGATGATAGCACCTATATTTCTGATATGAATCAATTTCTATGGATGTAGTTTCAAGTTACTGATGTTCAACATCTTTGTTACATGCTTGGTATATAAGTATCAAATATCCGCATGGATTCTTCTATCTCAATGGAAATGCGTTTTTGATATGCTTAATAAGGGGTTGTTCAGTTGTGGCTTATTGAGCTTAATAGGCTGTATGGGTTATTCGGTAAGCCATACAAAGGTGGTCAATGATGGCTAATGTGTACGCTAGTGGCTTATTCCGTCAGCCAAGAAATGTGTTGTTACCATTCAACTGTTACAATTCAGCTCATTTCCCCCCTCTTTTACCCTTGTGAAAGTACTCTTTAAGAAAAGAAACATTCCAAGGAAACCCTTTCCTCTCGTAGTCCTGTGCCTTCTAGTCTGTTGAAGCACCGCCGGCCAACGTTGAAGCTCTCGCCAGCGCTGATCTTTTTCTTCGGTTCCTAGCCAGTCTATACTAAATGCTACATCTTTCTGCTTTTGTTATATTCTCAAAGCCTCAGCGGCATAAATGCAACAAAGTCTCTAGGATCTTTGAAGCAAAGAATTAGAAGATGTTCTCAGAAATTGAGAACCTAGACATACTCCAAAAACAAGAAGTCCTATGCGAGAAAATTCAGCTTTGAGACAAAGCAGAAATCTCATAAAATTCCGAGAGGAGGGAGAGAGAAAGAAGATATGAAGTTTACATGGTAAGTGTGAAGAAGAGAAATCAGACTAGGTTTGAGTATGATTTATGGGTTCATTATATTTGATTTGGTAGAATGCTATGTTAAAAAAAATAGGTTGAGAATAGATAATGGGTTTTGATATGGAAACAAACATAATGGAGTTTTACTTTCAACAATGAAACCAGGCTTGAGTATGATTTTGGAAAGCTTCCATCAGGTGGTGCTGTTTGGAGAACATCTCTGACCCATAAGTTACAAAAACCCATAAATTCACAATTATTTAGTTTTTTGGGTTTTTTATTAGACGTTTCATTTGATTCAACACCTGGATTCATTTGATTTGCTTGTTTATGATATGGGTGCTTGATATAATCATGCAACAAGATTGATCTACAAAAACTGAGTTTAAAAATGTTGTGTGATGACTTTTTGCAAATGTTGTATATAAATGTGGTTTAATGTAAAGTAAAGGCTAAAATAGTCATTTTATATTTTCAAACTGTTTATTCAGCACAAAAACCGAAAACAATTTAGATAAATCCATACAGACAACTTTATATGTACAGACACTTCAATTCATAAAGGCCTTAATAGAAAACCAACTGAACAGCCCCTAAGTAAGGTCTATTTGGGAGCAAGCAAGTGGACAACCCGATGCTCATTTGTACCAGTGACCATGTTGTAACAATGCATACATAACCCTCCATTGATCCAACCAGTACACATCAGACCATGTGCCAGCTTGTAGACATACTCACAAAGCCATTATGAAGAACATAAATATATTTTATGTGTAACAAGATAGGCATGATTAACCTCCTTGCCCTTTATTCAATAGTATATTGTTAGCTTAAAGTGGATAATTGTGGTTTTGCTTTCTAGTTTACAAGAGTATAGTTTCCTAATATAAGTTGCTAATTGTGTATAACGTAATGTAATCTCTTCTCAATAGAATGTGAGAGAAAATCCCTGAACATATTGTTACCACGTACGGTAGTGTTCCGATCACAAAGGCATTAATTTTCAATGATGTTCTTTTGATGTGATTTTTGCAATTTTGTATTTTCAATGATAACAATATAGGAGCCTTTATGTATTAGTACGGTAGTGTATTAGTTTGGACTAATTAAAGAGACACGAAAGATTTTCCATTTTCTTGAATTTTATCTTTATTGCTTGGTATTCATAGCAAAATCTGCTTTCCTGATTTTAATCAAGGAATGCTCATCTCTTCTTCCATGCAAAGCTTGTTTACCTGTTGTTCAACCCTATGCTGTTATATCGGTCATAATACGAAATATCGGTCAGGACCGATATTCGATATATCGGTTATATCGGTGATATATCGGTCCAAAATAGCGGTTAACATAATATATCTTAGAATTATATATATAATATGCATTAATTAGAGTTTAGAAATATAGTTTCAAAATTAAAACATCACATCATCTAATAAATAATAAAATTAGTCATTTGGGCTTTGGGACTGTTAGTCTAATAGTCTGTTACTCATTTGGGTTTGGGCCTTTTGAAATTTGGACTGGAGGCCTGGAGCACTTGTAAATTTCTAAGCGATAGCTACCGCCTACCACTTACCAGCCGGCCACAGGAGACAGATCACAAATCACAATTCACAGATGTACGCATATCCGCCGACCGCCATCGCCTTCCTTCCCCCCTTGACCCTTGTAAGCGACGGCCGGTAGAGTGAGCAGCAGACCAGCAATCGACCTTCGGCTTCTTCCATCCCCGTCCCGTTGCCATCCCTATCGCTGGCTATGTTGTGTCGATTACAGAGAAAAGCATAGGAGATCGAGAAGAGAGACCGAGAAAAGAGAAGACGTTGTGAGAAGAAGAAGTCGAAGACTCGATGTTGTGAGAACTGAGAAATCGGAATATCGGTCCGATTTTTACCTCAAAATATCGCTAAAAAATCACTAAAAATCGCTAAATATCGTCGATAATATCGTTCCCGATATTTTGACCGATATTTAAGGTCCGATTTTTTTCCTAGGAGTGATATCCGATATATCGCCGATATATCGCGATATTAACAGCATAGGTTCAACCTCCAGATGCTTTTGGCTGATATTTTTTGCAGAAGGATGATTAATGCTTGGCATGGTAGGGATGTGATCTCCAATATTAATACCGAATGGATAGTATGATATAGTCTGTTTCAGGAGAATATTAAATCCTTATTGACAAAGCAAAAGACACAAGTTACTTCTACATTGAACACATGTATATGTATATATTAATATATCATCCAAATTCTGAATTTTTTTGACTTCTGGTGCTCTTTTACAATATTTATGCATTGTGCAGACGCGCTTTATGTTTATAAATGTTCAATTGCATATCTGAAAGTAAAACCTCATGTTGGTCAGTTTAGTACGGTAAGTCATCAGATATATATTTTTTATGTTTGTCTTGCTATGAATACCTGATAAGAAGTCAAGTAATACTTTATGGTTTTTGATAATATGTTGTACTTGCACTTTAGGCAAAAAAGATACTGCAAAGAATGTATGGATTAGACAACATCAATTGAATAGATAGGTAAACTATCAATCGCCAATATAAGATAATGATTCAAAAAGGAGCACTAGCTTAAGAGGCTAGTCTCTCCCGATTTAAAAGGAGAATAATCTGGATGCCTCACGTCTTATTCCTCCGCACCTTAAAACTAGACATGCAACAAAACATTAAGTAAAATTCCCCCACTACCCTCAGGACTGATAATCCCCTGTCATGCAAGACCACAGCTCACCATGTGATTTATTTTCATCACACGTGGTCCCTTCCCCAGCCTTCTTGTGCTGAACCTTCCTTCTAACATAGGTGAAAAGAATTGGGGAATGTATTGCATTACCCCTCCCCCAAAGAGCCACCTTGTCCTCAAGGTGTAATTCAGGAAAAGCCCGCTGCACTTTTTCCAAGTCTTCCTAAGTGGACTCAAATTCAGGCAGATGTTTCCACTTCAGTGTCACCTTTGACCTTCTGTAACTCCTACAACCCTCACTCCCAACAGGGTTCAGCTTCCACTTTAAGCTTCAAATTCGCTTTAATAGTGGGGGATTGTCATAGAAACTAGGTGCTCGCCGACAACTCTCTTAAGTTGGGACACATGGAACACCGGGTGAACCTTAGCCGTGAGGGGTAATTGTAGCTTATAAGCCACCAAACCAATCTGCCTAACAATTTCAAAGGGTCCATAAAAACGGGCAGCAAGTTTACGGAAAGGCTGTGTTACGAACATTTAGTGTTGGTTAAGGTTTGAGCTTTAAGTAAACCCAATTCCCAATCTCGAAACTAAGTGATGACCTTCATGCATTGCTGAGACTGTAACAAATGAGCCTTAAGCTCATCCAACATCGCATCATGTTCTAATAATTGGTCCTTCTAGCATAGGTGAAACGAATTGGGGGATGTGTTGCAGAATGTGATAGGTTACTTAAACCTGTGAAGTTGTTTTTATTATTCTTTAGTGCATGAAATCAAATTGTTATCTGGCTACATCTTAGTGGATTTAATATGAATGCTCATATACAATTTTATTTACATATACAATATCATCCTCCTTATATGTTGTTTCTCCTTTCTCATCTAATGTGGACTGGTCTTTGACAGGTAAGAGGACTTTACCGAGGTGCAACACCATCTTTTTTGGGAATGGCCTTTGAAAGTTCAATTCTTTTTGGTATTTATTCCCAAACAAAGCAAGCACTGCAGGTTTTAAAATAATAGTTAACGTCATTTTTTTTCTTAATTGCTCAAAGTTATTTGCTTTATACTTAATCTGGAACTTTTTCTTACCCTAGGGAGGAGATTGTAATGGGAAGCCTGAGCCCCATATAATAATTCCTTCAGCAGCTTTCGCTGGATCAATTATCAGCTTTATTTTGTGTCCATCTGAGCTGGTGAAGGTAAAAAAGTAGAAACTTATACTCATTTTCTGTGATTCTTGCATTATTATTATGACACAATGTCTCCAGTGTAGGATGCAAATTCAAGGTACTGACTCCGTGGTTCCAAGCTCTCGTAAATACAGTGGTCCTCTTAACTGCGCGATTGAAACCATAAAAACTGAAGGGGTAAGAAACCCATGCTAATTTTCATATCAAATGAGCTTGTGAACTTATGGACATAGCCATTCCAGGTTACTGGTCTCTTTAGAGGAGGTGGGACGACTCTATTACGAGAATCTATTGGAAATGCTGTCTTCTTTAGCACTTATGAATATTTGCGGCATTCCATGCATTTACAACTCAAAGGTTCTTCATTTGATCACACAATGATTGACGTCGGAGTTGGAATTGTGAGTGGTGGTCTCAGTGGTATAGCGGTATGTGTCATGATCAAAATGCAATCATTAACGAACATTATCTGTCTCATGACTAACTTCTCTGCTCCCTGATCCTCTAATTTGTATCTTTTCCCATATGTTTGTTTCCAGTTCTGGTCTGCTGTTCTTCCCCTGGATGTTGCGAAAACTATAATTCAAACTACACCAGACAATAACTTAACTAAAAATCCTTTCAAGATGCTGAAATCGGTAAGTGATTTCGTTTCAATATTTATTTTTGACCCAATTTTTAAAGCTCTCTTTGAGATAAATAAGCCCTTTGGATCGGCACATTAAATTTAAGGAGAACCTTTTTATTGGAGGAAACATTCAAGTCAATGTATGTACAATATCTCTGAGGATGTAAATGCATTAAAATGACTGGGCACTGCAAGGATTGCATTTCGCTAGAACTTGTAGAAAGAAATGTTGATATGCCTTGGGACTCGATGAACCATTTGAATGCATATAGCAAAAAAGTTACGATTAAGAAAGGAAAAAATCTGAAAAAGAAGCTCAAGTTGGATTCATATTAGCAATTTTGATGAATGGAGAAAAAAAACTATATAGCATGGATATCCGTGTTTAACAGTTAAGAAATCTATTTGGCTGATCATTTTGGAAGAAGCAAAAAGTCATTAAGCACACTTATTTTTGGATTGACATATTAAAGAAATAGTCAAATGCTGGATCTAGACTTAGAAAATTATTATGATAGATTTACAGGAGGTCTGGGCTTAGAGGATGCTACACTGGTTTAGGTCCTACAGCTTCACGAGCATTTCCTGCTAATGCTGCTGCAATAGTTACATTTGAAGCAGCTGCGAAAGTTTTGGGGATCATACGTGACTGAAACTGGTGCGTCGTTTCTCAACGTTGCTGTTTCCAACATGCTTTGATGGTTTTAATCAAGATTATCCTAATATTCATTTGTAATGAGCTGAAACTGGCGTACTTATCTGAGGGAGAGTGCTTCACATGATTCTTGCAATATAAATGGTTCTTGAGGCCCCACCAATAATGCTGTGGATGATGTATCGAATATTTTTACCCTAGGTTTTTGACATGTCTACCCCGGAGTCCTATTTTCCATTTATTTTATTTGTTTTGGATTTGTAAGGAAGGATTCTGGATGTAGAAGGTCAGCTTTATGTCTTTGCAGATTCGTGATTTAAAAGACCTCAATGACTGATAGGCCTAAATGAATTTTTTTCTCACATTGATTAACTTTCCATAGTTGTGGTTAACTTATAGCACATAATATTTGTGATTCATTTACTTTACTGACAATCAACATGGTTCACCGTATGATATTTTCTTATCGTCTCAGTACTTGCTTCAGATTGACCTTGTTTCCAGGAATATAAAGAAACGCATTTGTGGCTGCAGTTTATTTTGTTTGATACCGAATGCTAAAGCATGCGGTTTTGCAGTGTGATTTGTCGTTCCACAATTTTGTGCTTCTTGTCGGATTATTCTTTCTTTATATGCAAGTGGGAAAGTTAAATCTGAACGATATAATCAGCAGATAATTACATTACGTTCTTTACACATACAAATAGAACTATTTATCTGCATAGTGTTTAGAAATGCATGGCAAAGTAACCTTTTTTATGTTAATAATACGATGCCAATATAATTCCTAATTGCTGTTTTCAATTGAAATGATGTGTTCCACCTTTTGATTAAGATACACTTCACAAGAATCTTGGCCTTTGGACAAGAATTTATGGTACTTGTTAAATCTGAATCAATGGAAATGGGACCAAATTTTCTGCAAACCACAGAGTTCCATAAAATGGTTTATTACTTATTCTCTTACGCTCACTTGCTCAATATCTTTTTCAGTTTTATGTGTACTGTGGAAGGCTAATATATATTAATGTTTCATACTCGCAGGTTTCTATATTATCGTATTCAGTTCTTTTGCCAAATTTCATTTTGTCCCACCAATCTATATCTTTCTCATGAACTTCCTTTCTTTTGGCGGGCAAGTTGGCTTTAGCAATTAATGATTTTTTGTGGTTCCTTGTTGGCTATTATTTCTATACTAATAAACGCAAACAATGACAATGAAAACAAAGCAGGCAATTATCCTGTAGTCAGACTGTGCAGAAGTGATGTTAAAATCCAAGTCCCTGGCTAATCTTTGCTGGTTGGACCAATCTATTGATCAGATTGTGTTTGTGTTATCATGTTTTCTGTAAGATGATCTACTGATAGCTCCGATCTGTAGGCATGATACCTCTTCTATAGGTGTGATTACCTACTGCTGCAGAGCATTTAGTTTTACCTCACTTTTGCTATAGAATGATAAGGGACAATAGCAGTGAAAGCTTCTTTTGGCATCAAGAGCTTGTAGGAGATTATGGTATGTTTCTTTTTCCAATAACCAAGTCAATTCTCGTATATCGTTAATGATCTAATAAACGATAGTTGATTATTGGATCTATTTTTTATGTATATTTTTGTGATTGGTAGGATATGTAGCTTACGTTTACCTCTGTAGATGTTCTCGCATTTCTCCCAGACTCTAGTGCATGAAGCATGAAACACAACTAGATACAGTTGAACTGTAATACCATTATTAGATATAAATACATGCCAATTGCCATAAGGGATTCTTAAACTTCAAAGATTTCTTGATAAGCATGTTATATAGAAGTTATCCAAGGGAAATTATGTTCTAAATGTTAGTCACTTACAATATTACTTGGACTCTGGAGGAGTTATTGACTTCTAGATTAATTTTGCTTAGTTTTTGGCTTTTGGTTATGGGGAATGCCACAGAGAGCATTCACCTGGGAGTACTACTAAACAAATAAGTTCGACTTGATTAGTCCCCCACTCAAGATGTTTCGGAAGTTATATGGGTAGTGATGGACAGATCTACCTAGTATAGCCACTTCCTGGCTATTAGATATCCTATTACAGCTAGATAATTGTCTCGGATGTTATTGGACAACATTTAAACTGCATGTGCATGGTCTTGCCTACCTCTTGTGACAGGCACCACTTTTACTTTCTGGAATCTGTAACCTTGAATAAATGCAATTATGAATTGATGCTTATTATCTTGCTTGTACTATAGATTAGATTGAATAAAGGTGGACAAGGCATTGGGCTTTGATAATTCAGGACATAAACGAAACAAATATCCGATAAATGGAAGTATGCATAATGTACTTGACAACATGCATCGTCCTATGATGCACCCCCGATTGATAACGGTAGAAACCATGGTGAGATTGGTATTAATCGGTAGCAATTAAATGATTACAGAAGGTGTTTCCGACTTTTGAGAGGCCAGGAGCTCTCCTATTGACTCGCATCCAATTTGACACCAAAATAGACACCCCTCGACTAACCCCTCACTCTTTATTTATATTAGACCTTTGCATTACCTATTTGGACAATTTACGAAGTAATTACTTGTACCTAATACTATAGGGTATAACAATACCCGTCCCCAAACTTCCACATAGATAATATTCTCGCCACTTGCACTTTCCATGAGGAAGATATCTCTCGATTCCATCATGGGTCTTCTAACCAGGTTTCATCTACTCATGCTAGCTCAACACAACCTGTTTTTCTACATGCTCTACATCTTGGATTATTGATTTAGGAACCACAAATCACATGAATGGGAACAAAGACCTTATATCCAATCTTAGTACTAATATTCCCGAGAATCTAGTTCGACTTACTAATGGTTCTTTGTGTCAGATTATGGGCATAGGATTCACTAGCAATTGTCAAAACTGAACTCTTTACGTTTTCACGTCTCCGGATGGTCTAATATCCCTAGCCTAGTTACAAAGATGCATAATTGCTCAACAACCTTTTTCTTAACCCATTGTCTCTTTCAGGAATTGGGAACAAACTTTTCAGTAGGCACATGTTTTGAATCTCAAGGCCTCTAGTCGTGTCACCAACTTATTTCAGTTAATTCACTCGGAGCAAGGGGACTTTGTCTCGTTATTTCTACTAGTGGATTTATATTTTGAGTAAGTTGCATGTTTGGTCCCTATGGTTGTTTATTTTCTTGGATTAGGTCCCTACAAAATTTATATTGCAAAAAACCATTGTGGTATGCAAAAATGTTTTGCTTTGATCCCTAAAGCCAACCCCGTTTGCTTCCTTCCCGTTAAACTCCCTCATGTGAATTGCACACGAGGGTATTATAGTCTTTTTGTTCACTCCACCATTTAGCCCATAAACACTCTCTCAACCTCCTTTTAGTTCACCACCACCTCCAACAACCAACAATATCCACCGTAACACAAACAAATCAAAACACAGGTAGATCAATCAAGAAGCAAATGCACAGATAAATCAACTTCATTTCAAATATCAAATGAGATTGTTTCGAAACCCCTAAACCAAATCAAAATCCCTCAACCAAATCAAATTCTAAAACCATGGGCTGTGCCAGAGCAGATGTCAAGTGGCCATGTTTGATGATGTCTTTGAGTGTATAAAAGGCATCTCAATACATCTTGCATGGAGGACATCTACTATTTAGCCCGTCAAAGAGATGATATCATCTGACATATTGATTTGGTATAAACCAAGCCCAACCTAGTGATTTATTTTTTCAACCTTGAACTCAAGCCTCAAATTTCCCCTATTTCATTGTGTGTAACCCAATGAGCGTGGTGTACTATTGTTGGATGATTGCTGGTGAGTCGGCGGAGCAAAGTGAGAGGCTGTTGGCTTTGGCGAGGATCGAGTAAAGAAAAAAAAGAATCGAATGTGGAGAGGCTCAGAGGCCTTTGTTGATGAACCTCGAGACTTGGGGGACTTCTTGCATGGTGGCCGACATCCAATGTGGTTAGTTGTTGGTTAAAAGAGAGAGGACTGCAAGCCTAGGGTTGCAATCGGGTTGGTTTTATAAACCTCCATGTGCAGAAGTGGAGGGTCGACGGTAGGAGCTGGTGGTCGCCAAGTTTAAATGAGAGGTCAGTGGATTAGGGTTTTTGTGATTCTCATGCTGCTGGAAACCATATAGGGGAGGGAGAGGAAAAGAGAATTAGAGGTAACGAAGAAGGGGGACAAGTTTAATGGAAGGGGGAAAGGGCAACCCCGTGGGGAAGAGGAAGGGGCTCTCTCTCATTTTGTGCATATATATTATAATTATTGACATATAATCTTAAAATTATTTGGTAAATATTTTCTTGTAAACAGATTGATTCTCAATCTTCTATTTATGTCAGTCAATATTCTGTCATTGGTGTTTTCCTTGTATTAGACTATTAGTTAGTCAATTAGAATAGTTTCAGCCTATCTAAGCTACATGTAAGCTATTGTTTCAATGTACGATTGAAACAATAGCTTACATGGTCATTGTTGGATTAATTTCCACACAGCATATATATATTATTACTGATCAATCGAGTAACCTTACAAAGGGATATACAGATTCATACATATAGACAACAAAGGGATACAGCCCTTCATCAAACGATACAACCAATCTGAGTTTGACAGTTAATTAACTGTCAAACATAATAACTAACTTTTCTAATAATTAATTTACTAAACGTATCATGACTAGCTTATAATTCAACACACACCCCCTTAAGCTAGCAAGGGTAAAACTCTCAATTTTCCTTTCATAATCTTGAAGCTTCCAACTTGAAGAGCCTTTGTAAAACAGTCTGCTATTTGATCCTTTGTCCCACAAGAACTCAATCTTTACTTCATCATTAGCCACCAATTCACGAATAAAGTGAAATTTGATATGTATGTGCTGGCTTTCCCATGAAACACAGGATTCTTAGATAGAGAAATGGCCGACTTGTTATCACAGTAAATAGTAGTAGGATTACCTTGTACTTGCTCCAATTCATCCGGTATAGATCTCAACCATAAAGCTTGACAATCAGCTACTGAAAGAGACATGTATTCTGCTTCAGCAGAAGATAATGCCACCACGCTTTGTTTCTTGGTTTGCCAAGATATAGCTCCAGACCCTAGACTGAAAAGGTATCCTGCTGTACTTTTTCCATCATCCGAATTACCACCAAAATCACTATCACTATATCCTATAAGCCTGAAATCTGTACTTTTGGAATAGACAATACCATAGTCTAAAGTACCTTTGACATATTTAAGAATCCTTTTCCCTGCTTCCCAATGGTTTGTCTTGGGTGATTCCATGAATCTGCTAATCATGCTCACTGAGAAGACCAAGTCTGGCCTGGTAGCTGTC